TTACCGGGGACTGCAACACATGCACATACACATACCGGGTGTCACCGGTTACAGCAAGGGGTAGGGGTGGACTGAACAGGTTACCGGGAACTTCAACACATGCACATACACATACCGGGTGTCACCGGTCACAGCAAGGGGTAATGGTGGACTGAACCGGTCACCGGGGACTTCAGCACACACGTATACACATACCGGGAGTCACCGGTCACAGCAAGGGGTAGGGGTGGACTGAACAGATTACCGGGGACTGCAACACGTGCACATACCCATGCCGGGTGTCACCGGTTACAACAAGGGGTAGGGGTGAACTGAACAGGTTACCGGGGACTGCAACACATGCACATACACTTACTAAATACCGTCAATTGACGAGCTTGGAAGTGTCTAACCTAGTGGAAGGTTCACCGAAGTATCACGAGGCAAGCATCAAGATCAGCACAAACACAAGTTTGAGAGCATCTGAACTAGTGGAAGGTTCACGGATGTATCCCAAGGTAAATCGCAACTCACACACACATCAAGATCAGTACAAACACAAGTTTTAGAGCATCTGAACTAGTGGAAGGTTCACCGAAGTATCCCGAGGCAATTCGCATCTTGCCCACGCATCAAGATCAGCACAAACACAAGTTTGAGAACATCTGAACTAGTGGAAGGTTCACGGAAGTATCCCAAGGTAAATCGCAACTCACACACACATCAAGATCAGCACAAACACAAGTTTGAGAGCATCTGAACTAGCGGACCGTTCACCGACGTATCCCAAGGTGAAGCGCTAYACCCCCAAGCACCCAAATCAGCAAATTGACAAGATCGATGACATCTACACTAGGGGAATGATCACMGAAGTATCCTAGGATGAAGCGYTGCACCCCCAAGCACCCAAATCARCAATTTGACAAGTTTTGATGACATCTACACTARGGGAATGATCACCAAAGTATCCTAAGATGAAGCGCAACACACATAGGCATCCAAATCAGCAAAAACACAAGATTGATGACATCTACACTAGGGGAATGATCACCGAAGTATCCTAGGATG